ATTACCAATAAATTTAATGTCAAATAAAATGTCTAAATATATAGTTATTAATAGTATCGATGGTATTCAATTCAATCAAATGGAGGTGTGGTAAGGGTAGCAGTATGTGGTGTGCAGTGGTGTTGCAATACCGGTGCTCTACTGTATGTTATTGTGTGTTACCATTGGCTCACAAATTGTAGTAAACAAGTGACGCGTGAGTGACGTAACGGTTGGTTAGAGTCGATATGTTTTCATTTCAGACAACACTCAGCAGTGCATAGAAGTGAATGTCTGTCGCACTGTCTGTCCCTATAATACTGCCATTCAGTGCTATTATTCACTCATTTCCAGTCCATTAGACACTTGAATACTGCGGACACACCACAAGAGTCACCCCAACACTGGTCTCCCTATCATTGAGCCGCTAATTGTGTCCACATTTCCACTCAAATGACTTGTTTTCACGAAACCATTCAAAGAGTGGAGTGTTTCACAAATACTGTGACCAATTCAACCACTTTTGTGTCCACAAGACATACCTGCGCCCCAACTCAGTGACCAGCGATGACATCCAAGACATCGAAAGGTGTCAAGTGTTTGGACGACAACTTCGTGATGCCGTCCGACGTGAAGAGAGCCGGATATATGAAGAAACTGAAGGTATGTCCCAAATGACACTCACAACCACTACACCCCTGTCCCACACCTTCCCATACTATGCCATACACTATATGCTGACCATTGCCTCAAACAGTCATTCACTCCATTCATATACACATCCATACCATACATACCACCGATGGTTCAGTTCTTGAGACCATCACCACATCACTCCATTAGATCCTCACACTTAAAGTCCATTCAAACCCTAAAGCATTCAATGATTACACATGAATGACCCATAACCACGAATATATACCTCTAATACACAATCACTGAACACATCCAAAGACATGACTATAACATGAGATAACAATTGAAATGGCATTTGATTTGTGTGTTGCAGACAATGAAGAGGAAGTATTTTGTGTTGAGAGACAATAACGACTCAAATGAGGCGAACCTTTGCTATTACGACAGCGAGAAGAAGTT